TAAGATTGTTTAGGATTAATTATACTATAATTTATTGTAATGTATGACTTTGAAAATAAAATAATATGTATTGACGCGTGAACTAAGTGATCGAGTTGCTGAGGAAGTCCCCAATAAGATACAAAACGTTCAACAAGGTCATAATAAATTGTTCATCAAATTTATTAAATGTCTTTAATTTCCCTTTGAAACCCATATATATTAATATACTGTTGGGACAAGAATATTGATAATTAAATAATAATAATAATAATAATAAAATAAAAATGAGTATTATAATTAAATAATTGTAATTAGTTCCTAGTCGAATTCTGAATAGTTCGTCATTGGATCGCATCTTCCGCTTTAAAATGGCCTAAGAGATGGCTCACTGCCAAGAATCGAAAATAAATTCCTCTCTCTCTCTCTCTCTCTCTCTTTCTTTCTCGTTAGTTTCTTTAGGAAGACACAAACGCAGCAGCATCCGAAAGGAACTCGATTCGTGCAAAGGATCTTCTCGATCGAGATCGTCCACTGACCTCTTCGACGTTCCGTTATAGAATACTTTTCATACACGTACACGTATTACATACATATATGCATATGCATACAGATACATATGCACATACATATCGTTTACATGTTACATATGTAATATGTAAACTCCTCCCCCTCCCCACCCCCGTCCCTCGCTCTACCATTTCCCTTGATCTTCTTACGAGTTACCTAATCTTCTCGAATTAACAGCTTTTGCCGTACACATTTAATGTGATCACATTTGATGATGCAGTTTAATTATTTAATTACAGTTCTCCAGCATCAATGAGATGAATGAGTGTACTCTCGTCGACATTACACAAACGTTGTTATTAATCGAATAATAAAATTACGTTCCGTTCTAAGATAAAACCGAGTGTGTTTCGTTTTTTTTTCTTTTTTGTTAAGTTATATATTATCGAATATATAATTGAAATAAAAATGAAAAATAATTGTTAATCGAAATAAATAATGAATGCTTACCGTGCATGATCAAGATCTCTCTTATTGCCTAGCAAGAGGGCAGTGAAGTAGGATGGCAAACGTAAATCCGCGAGTTGTTTTAAAAGTCCTCTTGCTTCTTGAAAACTTCGTTTACACGTAACGCTGTAAACTACGACGAAGGCCTCGCCCCATCTTATATGCGAATATAGGCACCCATTTTCCTAAAAAATAACAAATTAAACCCGTTTGTTTTAATATCAGAAATACAATGATCGTAATATTGTTATAAATATCAAATTTTTTTGTAGAAAAAAAAAAGATATTAAATAAATTTTAATTACGATTTATTTATTCGACATTTAATTTGTATATATTGTGTTTTTGAAATATACAATATTTTCAAAATTATAATACGATTGTATATTATTATTATTATTATTAGATAATAATCAAAATTTTTTTCATACATAAGTTTAATGTAATATTAATTAATTAATTTATCGATAATCTTTTTGTATACGATTAAAAAAATCGTACAATTAAATAATAATAATATTTATATATTATATTAATAATAATAATATTTATATACATTCGAAAAATGAATCTAATGAAAGAAATCAAATTTTATATAAACAGAACAAATATTGAATTCCATTGAATACGATGATTGTAAATTATTCGAATGGTAAGAGTGAAATCTTTCTTATGGTAAAAACATTTCTTATGGTGAAACTTTCGGCGTTCACAAGAACCGTTTAACAATGTGGATGATAGTCGAGAAGATAATCGAAATTGGTAATGCTTAAAAGGAGAACCTTCTCGAGTTAGTAACCTTTGACTTGGCGCTTAAAGATTAACGTAGGCTAAAAAAGAAAAAGAAAAAGAAAAAAAAGAAAAAAAGAAAAAGAGAGAGAAAGAGAGACTTCCGCCACGTGGAACCGCGATCGCATTGCTGTGTGTTCCGTTTTAATTGCTAATTCATGGATCACGAAGGAAACTGCTAACCAATAGAATACCTTATCTTTCTTATTTCTTATTTGCACAATCGGAAATTGCATAAAATGATCTTTATTACATAAATACTTTACATATATTATTTCCTCTAATTAATTTCAATGCTAATGAATTTTATCTAATGAAGAAAATAATTAAAAAAAAAAACATTATTTTTTTTTGTTCTTTTATCTATAATTATATTATTATTATATCGATTATATTTTTGTCATTTCTTTAATTATTGCAATATATAATATTACAAATAAATGACAATTATATTATATTATATATATATTATTGATTATAAGATAATTAAAACCAATAATTAAAATCACACACATTCTCAAAAGAATACATAATAATCTTAGATCTCTTTCTTCGAACTTCCAAATTAAAAAAAAAAAACATAAAAGAAAGGTAAAATGGGAATTGACCGTGATCACGAGAAAACAAGATCAAGCAACGAAGGTTGTTAATTTCAAACTTTCGATCTTTCAGAATAAATCGTGAATTGACGACCTTAGACCTTGGAAAGAACCGACTTTTAAACCGAAATGACTTTCGAGTAATCGAGTGGATTCGAGTTAGAGAGAAGAGAATATCGTTCTAATTGCTAATGCATCGATCACGGTTGAAAAGTGTAGTAGTAGCTCCCATGAAATTATTCCTTTATTCCTACCTTTAATCTTTTCCTACTTTAGTTCAATTCGTTAGTTAGTATTACTACCAAACCAACCAAACAAATACACACACACACACACACATTAAAAGCAAAGAACCTACAGTAACAGCAACATCAACAGCATCAACAGCAACATCAACAGCAGCATTAGCATCACCAGAAGCAGAAGCAGCAGCATCAATAGCACCAACATCAGAAGTAGCAACAGAGTAGGTGCATCAACATCAGCAATAGTCCAATAAGAATGAGAAAGAGAGAGAAAGAGAGAGAGAGATAGTTTCAAGTTTAACGACCCACGGAAGCTGTCGATTCTCGTGGTCGTTCGAATGCTTTCCCATTGACCTGGCACTGACAGCCCAGCCGATAATTATTACCAAGGAACAGGATCGACGGGATCGTGATCATCGACATTTTCTTTCTCTCTATCTTTCTTCTTTCTTTATTTCTTTATTTCATCTTCTTCTTCTTCCTCTTCCTTCTCTTCTTCTTCTTCTTCTTCTTCTTCTTCTGTTGCTGATGCTGATGCTGCTGATGTTACTGCTTTGTATTTATATACATTTAATACATATAAATATATATATGTATATGTGTGTGTATATATGTATATAAGTATGTAGACGAGAGGACGAATCGTGCAATCCAGTCTCATAGGTTTGCCTTGCTAACGTTGCTGAACCTGGCCCTGAACCTTAGGACTCGTTTAACAGATACACTCCACGTGATCGTAGGAGGTCGAACGATAGACAATAGGAACGTTATATATATATATATGTCTTTATAGTATAATAATAACTTTGATCTTCGAAAAACTATCATCGTGTGTTGGATTACCATTATCACAAGAAAATTGTATACTTTTTATAGGTTTAATCTCCTTTCGTGAAAAAAAAGAAAAAGGAAGAAATTATTAAAATATATATTGGGAATTTAATTAGTTATTTCTCTCGTCCAAAATTATAATTCTTAATACGGAATCACAGGGAACTTGGACATAAAAAGAAGTAGGACTTAATTCAACTTAGTAAAATTAATAATAGTTAATTTAAATAATGATAAGACATTGTAAAAAACTTTGTAAGTTGTGCAATAAAAACCTGATTATATATAATAGTTAATTTAATTAATTAATTTAACTAAGTTGAATTAAGTTCTACTTCTTTTTATGTCCAAGTTCCCTGTGATTCCGTATTAAGTATATTGGGAATATTAAATTATGTTTTTCTTTTTTTTTGATTGAGATAGTATGATGTGACTTAAAAAGAAAAAAAGACAAAAAAATAGATATATATTCCATATTTTAATTAAATATTATTTAATAAAAAAAAATTCAAACGAGAAGAGATTATACAAATTTTGATAATAAGAAACAAAAAAAAAATGATCTCATCAATCCTAAATCACAAATAATAATTTCTTTTACGATTATATATAAAGAATAATCTAACTATGATTATTATTATTATTAATATATTTTGTACGTTTAATATTTATAATTTTGAAAGATTTCAAGTAATATTGATACTTTAATAGTATATCCAATAAGATAATGATCGATAATCTATCTCGTATTTTCTTTTTATTCTGTCTGTACGTAAAATTTAAAGACCCTCATCTCCATCCATCCTTCCTTCCTTCCTTCCTTCCTTCCTTCCTTCCTTCCTTCCTTCTTTCTCTTGAAAACCGAGACGGAATTTTATAGCAGGTTATAAATATATTTCGTGACAAGTGGGCGTGTATATTTACAGTCATTATTTACAGTCAAATCTGTCGAATTAACATTGCGTGTAACGTGCTCGTAAATAAAAGCCTCGCGAGAGAAGTTTGCGTATTACTCTTTTAGAGTCTCGAGGATACATATCTTCTTTCTCTCTCTCTCTCTCTCTCTCTCTCTCTCTCTTTCTCTTTCTCTCTCTCCTTCTCTCTCTCTTTCTCTCTCTTTCTCTCTCTCTCTTACTATCCTTCATCCATTTATCGTGACGATTCAATCGACTCGATCGAATTCATCTCACGTTTTCTTTCTCTTCGTTTCAATTCTTTCCTACACTCCCCCCTTCCCCCTTCCCCCTTTATCTCACTCAACTTTCGAGTTTCAAATCTAATATAATCTCACGGGACACGTGTGGCAAATTTTGATCGATTGAATTTTTCAAATAGTAATTCGTGTGTTTTAAATAGTATTAATATTACGTTCGAAAAAGGATATATATATATATATATATATATATATAAATAAGATATATA